GAGTCAGGAGAATGTTTGACGTCTGTACTTTATCCATGCGAGTCGATCTTCTAGGATCACGTTTTGGTTTTGATTTTTTTCTGGCTCAAGGTTTTGTTTTTCATATTTAAAATTGAAGATCATTGCTTTGTAATTGATTCTTTTATTCTCTCTCTTTTTTTTTATGGAATATGTTTAATAGAAATCCTAAAACTTATCATGTAAGTGCAATTGAATCATAAAATTTATCAAATTAGTACAATTGAGTTATTCCGTTAGCTCCGTTAACTAAGCTAACGGAAAATGTTGACGTGGTTTATCTTAATATTTTCTTTCTTCCCTTTTTTTTTTTTGGAGGGGGGGAGTGTTTGGTCAGTGGGTGTCCCCGGGCCAGTTCTGGGCCAGGGGCCCTTGGCCGGGGCTCGACGATCCTTGACAATCATTCCCCACCATCGTCGGCCCTTCCTGACGATGGTGGGGGCGGTGGCAAGGGTCTCCCTTTTTTTTAAACTTATTTTTTAAATTTAAATTTAATAAACATTGTATTAAAAATCAGATTTAGATAAAAACGATGTCATCTTAGCCACGTCATCGCTACGTAAGAGAGAGAAAATATTTAAAAAATAATGTCATTATTTTTCGTTAGTCAAGTTGGACGGAGTTAACGAAATAACTTAATTATAATAATTGATAAATTTTTGAATTTGATTGCATTTTTTATAAGTTTTAGGATTCAATTATACTTTCGTGATAAATATTATGATTTTCAGTGCACATAGTTCTTCTTTTATTATTTTGGTCACATCAAATTTTGGGCCCTTTTTTAAGTTTGAAAGTGAGTTTGAGAGAGAGAGAGAGAGAGAGTAGGGAGTAGCAAAGTACGAGCTGGCAGTAATAATTTCCATGCAAGGCGGATCATCGTTACCACCCTTACTGAAGTGCATTCGAGCCTTAAATTCGAAGGAGTGACGATGGCGGGGGTGGGGCTTGAGTAGAGAGAGACGGTGGAGAGCTTAGTTGATAAAATAATCCGGTTTAGTAAGTAAGAACCGAAAATTAGATAGAACCGAAAATTAGATTGGACACGAAACCGAATTTGATGTAAGTGATGATGAAAACTCTACGGGGATAGAAGTCCGGTAGATCTCCACTCGATAACGGGCTGCGCCCTTGAATCACTAAGCTATTCATAGGGTAAATATGATGAATTTCGCTAAGAATTTTTCGGTACCATGATTTTCTCTTGTCACGTGTAATCGGCACTCGAGAAGTCCAAATATCCCCTAGTCAATATGCTTAATTAGTGCGCTGACGAACTCGTTAAGAAGATCCCCACCACACACTTCACGACACTGCGAGTGGCTCTCCAAGAAGAGATGGTCCCGACTCCGACCCGTCGGCAATGATGACGAACCGAGAGAGCGATGCTCCACGATTCTCAGGCCTCTCGACTCGATTCGATTCAAAAGATTCTTGGCAAGGACAGTTTCATCGCGGCCTGTCCCCCATCACGCCTGACGACGAGCTTGGACAACATCCCAGGAAGACGAGACATCTTGCTGTCCTCCTGTCCAGAAAGAAGCACCTCGTTTGGTGCCGACACCTCGTTTGCTTTTCGCTTCTCGTCCGCACATTCATCAATACGAATACGGCCAAGTGGGAACGCTCGAAACCACAAATGGCGACTTGAATATCCCACTCGCACATCGGAACGGATATGGGAGATGCCCATCTCTATTTAACCTTTAGAAGAATTAAATTTATGATCCGTCGCCGCTTTTATTAAGGGGAAAGTACCATAAAAGTCTTAAAATTATTACATTGATGTATGGGAGACAACATAATTTATTAATTGACTTGCGTGTTCCCGAAGGATCATGGGCCAGGCCCAAAGATCATGGGGCCGATTGAGTCGCATTTCTGGCTCACCATCGTTTGATTTGATTCTTAGTACCAAGAGAAGAGTTGTCTTAGTTCATGGCACTGTGTGATTGATTGATTCTTAGTACCATGATTTGATTTGATTTGATTTGATTTTCACTGTATAAAGCAATAATGCATGGTGAGGCTGTTTGGGGAAACAGTCTGTAAGTGAACCGATAAAAATGATATCATTATGGGATAAAAGTTACCTAATTCTTATCAAGATGGGAGCCAAATATTACTTTTTAGTCGAGGATTCTTTCTTATTGTTTTGTCTGTACTTAATAACATTCTTTCTGACTTTTGTCTTACATCATCGATTTTCTCTAGATCATTATATCTTGGGATTTCTACTTATATGTCATATTCATTATCTTATTATGCGAAATAGGGACGATCGATTTTAGAATGAGTAAGTTCTAAACTTGAAATCTGGAACCTACCTTATTAGAATCGGTTCTTATTTTTTGGAATCTGAAATCTATTCTGTTTGCATTGGAACCAATTTTAGACCTACCTTATTTTTTCAGATTCCAATTCTATCTAAGAACCAAATTTTCTTTTTTTTTTCCTTTCTTTGATTTCATTTTACAAAATGATTCAATGTAAAAGATAAATCAAGGTGAGCGAGCGAATGTGAGTTAGGAACAAGTTAGGGTTCGAGTAGCGAGTTAGGAAGGAGGAGGGTGAGTAGAGAGAGAGAGAGAGAGAGAGAGAGAGAGAGAGAGAGAGAGAGAGGGAGAGAGTTGTGAAGTGTGCGGCAAAGGTTAGAGAGAACATAGAAAAAGAGATGGAGAAAAACTAGGATTTCTAGGCTTCATGAAACCAGCTCCAAATTCATTGCGGTTGGTCAAGTTCCTGAGTGGTCTTTCACTCGGAACCAGTAACGGGACCGATTCCCAATTGCACAACCCTTTATGCAAAACATTCAATGTCCTACTGTTGATCATCACTTTCGTTGTCTTCACCGTTCCTTGCGCTCTTTTCCTCTCAGTAACGGCTGCAAGAGGCAAAAATCTCATTTACTCATGGGGAGAGTATGGGACAGACTGACCCAATGCTTGAGGTGAGGTCATGCTTATGGGCCAAACCTTGTGTCCCAAGCTGGCGAATCAAGGAGCTGTAGAAGGGATCCTGCACAAGGCATGGGGGAAAAGCCTGCAACGTCTCCACGGCACGAGTTCCTCTTTAGCCTTTGATCATCCACGGGGAGTCTCTAAGGTGCTGGAGAGGAGGCCTTGGTCCATCATGGGTTCGAAATTGATATCGATGGATCTGAAATCCGACCCTTGATTTAATTGCAAAGAAACCAGCCCATATTAGAGAAGCTCAAATTGAAATCTTGTAAATTAAATCGTAGGGTGATGCAAGAAAAGGGACATAGATACCCACAAGACTTCTTTTCCTTATTGAAGTAAAATTCCGAAGGCTGAGAGGGGTTCATAGTTATGTTATTGAGTTTGATGCACAGTGCAATAACGAGTGTACTTAATATGTGTGTGAAACTTGCCAGAAACACAGCTAGTAGCGAGAGGTCATCTGAGAAAGCCGAGAGAACACCGCTTAGTTTTTGTGGATTCGAATCTAATCTAGTCGATTGTGTTGGAACCATCTCTTTGTTCTCTCCCTCTGGAGCAGGCACACTACCGAATCAGGTAAAAGTCCATTTTTTTCAAATTTTATTTCTGCAATTTAAACCTTCCTCGAGTTGTTTCGGTTATTCATGCCCGCATCGTAACAAAATGGTACATGTCTGACAGCCCTCTGCCTGAAACGCTTGGACATGCATCAAAGGGTGGAGGAAATTAATTTCACTACGATTACATTAGGGGTTCAGATCAACGTGCCGATACTAGCTCGCATGACGATGGTTGTGAACTCTATTGGTCAGCAGCTAGAGGCGGAGCCTATAATGTTTTTGAACAGGTCGTGTCGGGCTTTTCTAAGAGCCAGAGTGGAAATAGATGTCTCAACCCCATAAGGCTTCTTTTACTTATTGAAGTAAAAGTCCTAGTCTGAGAGGGGCTCATAGTTCTGTTATATGAGTTTGATATACAGGGCATAATGAGTGTGCTTAAGATATGTGTGAAACTTGCCAGGAACACAACGAGCATGGAAGAGTTGCTGATTTTTGCTACTCCGGCAGGATGCTTGGTCACACTGAAGGGACATGCTGGTGGGATGAATCAGAGTTGAAAGTGAAGCTTGGTCCATGGATGAGAACATCTCAGGCAAGGAAGCTGGCATGTGGCAGGAAGAGAGAAAGTCAAAGGATCGATGGAGGAATGAAGGAAGGAGGAAGGAAGAGTCTGTAAATCAAAATGTGAGAGAAATTAAGATCTCTCAAGATGGCTGTCCTCAAGGGTGTTCTTTGATGAGAGATTACCGAAATGAGGGCACTTGAGAGAGAATGTGAATGATGGTTCGTCACTTCAGAGAAGAGTGGGGATGTAAGCTAAGGATAGGAGAAATTTCCAACCCTTTCAAGACATGTTATTTGATACAGGTTTGCAAGACTGGTGTTTCAAGGGACAATTTGCATGGAAGAACCGCATGAGAAAGGATAGAGAGGAGAGAGTTTAAGCCATGTACTGGGGTCAAAGTTGGTATGGCCAGCTAATAGGAGGGCTGCCCTCACTATTAAGATCAGCTTATCACCTTCAAAAAGCTGAGCAAAGGAGGGGGTTTGATTAGAGAGCTTTCATCTTCACACTCCATTGATGACACTCTTTTGAACAGTGCGGCAAAGATTAAAAACTTCCTTTGGAGGGTGTGATCAAGTTCAATGTAATATCGAAAATCTATGGAAGAGAGAGATTAATGAATGTAACAAGTGCCCTTTCTGCCTTGAAATAAGACTCCCGGAGCTTGCTCAGTTGTCGCGTGAATGGTACAGGGGGTGTATTGTTCGAATGGTGTTCGGATTAGACTTCCCTAGCTGAGTACTAGTCGCCATTGTCCATCACACACAGAAATATACTTGGTAAGATTATTTTCATGTATGATCACGTTACATACAACAAAACCAGCAAAATCCGAGATGAAACCAAAAGGAAATGCGACAAAGAAAAGGGTAACGAGCACAGCATTGCGTCACAGCCAATAACGTGTCATCTTAGCCATCCGAGCCTTTGCCTCATCGAGGCACGCCTCACATCTTGCCATGGCGGTCCGTGGTGACGCGCACTACCCCTTCGTAGTCGATGCGCCCAACGTCCTTGAAAGTCTGGCCGCTCATCTGATCGGCTGCCGTCAGCGTGGAGGCTTTGGCCCCCGGCGGGGTGTCCTCGACATAGACCTCCACCACCTTCTCGGCCTCGGCCCTCTGGTCCTGCCCCTCGCCTTCATCCCTGCCGGCCATGCGCGACTCATTTTTCTTGTCGCTTGGCTGTGTCAGCTTCTCTTTGATTGCCCCCATGACGCTCCCTATCGCGCCCAAAATCCCTCCTCTCTCCTCTTTGCCCCTAACCACATTAAAACATACATATAAAACCATTACCGAATTTGTAACACATGGAGCGCCAAGAATATTTGAACGATCCAAAGTTGGAGCACATTTTCAACGCAAATATGTAAAACAATCCAAACAAGGCTCTCATACGTTTTCTCCTTGGTCTCCTCCTCCTTGCCAGACAGCATGTCCATGGCCCACCTCGCCGCGTCCGCGGCAGAGTCCTTCAGCTCGCCCAGCTTCCCCACCGTCGTGCCCTTCCCTTCCTTCGCCTTCTCCGCTGTGCAGTCCTTGGTCTCTTTCGCCTTCTCAGCCGCGTAGTCTTTGCATTCCCCTGCCTTCCCTAATGCTGCGTCCTTGGTCTCCCTCGCCTTCTCCTTCGCCTCCTCGGCCTTCTGTGCCGCGTAGTCCTTGTACTCGCCTGCCTTCTCCTTTGTCTTCTCTTTGGCTTCCCCGGCCTTCTGCGCCGTGTATTCCTTGTACTCGCTGGCCTTCTTCGCCTCCTCGGTCTTTTGGGCAGTGTAGTGCTTGTACTCAGCTGCCTTCCCCAGCGTTGAGTCCTTTGTCTCTCTCGCCTTCTCAGCTGCGTAGTCCTTGTACTCCCCGAGCTTGCCCTTGGTCGACTCCTTCGTCTCCTTCGCCTTCTCAGCCGCCTCCCCCGTCTTCACCTTCACCTTCTGGGCCGCCGAGTCGGTGGTTTCCTTTGCCTTCTCGGTCGTGTAGTCCCTGTACTCCTTGGCCTTGCCCGTGGTGGCGTCGTAGCCCTCGCGGGACCTGTCAGCCGTGTATTCCGCGCCTTCACGGGCAGTCTCGGTGGCGTCGTGGCTCTTCCCGACGACCGCCTCCTTCGCGTGCTCGTACGTGTCCTGGACCACCCTCAGGACCGACCCGATCACGCCAGGCCTCTGCTGCTGCGGCTGGTCCGTCGTGTCAAACGTGGCCGCTCTCTCTCCGGCCGCTTCGTACTCTCGGTCCCTCTCCCGGTCGCGGTTCACGTCCCTGAGGTCGGAGGCCGCAATCCTCGCCGTCGCCTCGGCCCTCTCTTCCTTAGCTTGCCTCGACGCCATTTTTCTCTTTTCTTTTGAGCTGATCACGTGTGTTTGGTTCCTCTCTTCAGAGTTTAAGGTATTGCTGAATCGGTAGATAGGGGGCATTTTATACGAGAGAAAGTCGAGATTGGAATGACAGGTGGAGCTGGGGGAGGAGCAAACAGCTGCCACGTGTCTTCTCTGCGCAACGGAGCGACACGTGGAGGGCGCGCGGCGGAGGAGGGACACACGTAGTTTTGCATGCAAGTGACGATGAAAATTATCTACGAAGGTGGGGGCAAAGGCTCTAAAGTACTCTGCCCTAAATATTTTTTCGATTATATAACAAGATATATTGTATTGGCCTTTCTCAAATTGTAATTGACATGATTATATATATTTCGAAAGTCTCCAAATAAGGAAAATTACTAAAACAGTCCTAAATTTATTGTAATTATTATAATTTAGTCCTAAATCTTTTGCATTTGTACCAATTCAAATCTATCCGGCTAATTTTGGCTACAGGTGCTGATATGGACGCCGGCCGTCCGACCGATGCTGACGTGGCAATTTTCAAAAATTTTTTTTAATCTTTTTCCCTTTTTATTTTTTTTTATTTTTTGCTTTCCTTCTCCCTTGGCCGGTCGCGGCAACCGAGAGCTCCTCGTCGGCCACTATTGAGGCTCGCCCTCGCCGGCACTGGCGAAATTGTAATTGACATGATTATATATATTTCAAAAGTCTCCAAATGTGCTCCAAAAAATGATAAAATGATAAAGATGCACCATGACACGCCAGCTATTGAGATGTGCCTCTTATGTGAGATTTATTGGAGGATTTATTATATGAATTTATGATGTGTTTGTTTGGGGGAAAACTCCATGATTATGGAAAATGATTTCCAGAAAATCATTTTCTAGGAAAATGGTTTCTTTTCCTTTGTTTGGTGATATGTGACCGAAAACACTTTCCAATGTTTGGATCACATTTGGAAAATGATTTCAATATCATCAATAACATTTGAACTAACCAATTACACTAGTGTGCCTCTTTCAAATTAATTTATTGAGTCCATGTTACTTAATAAACCGATTTTCTCGATAAATCTAGTAAATCTAGAATTTAAACCCGCAAAATGAAAAGGAAACCCGAATTCCTACACGTGTTCTTCTAAATCCTCGTCGATCTCCATCGTCCTCACCACTTGCCATTGCGCCCCATCAGATTGCTAGTGACTCTCTCTCTCCGTCTCTAGCCCCTCTTATAAGATCTTTCATCATTAATGTCTCTCCTTTGTTACCTCGCTGTCGTGGGCGTCCCTAATTTTCTATGCGCATTTCGCTCTTTGCGACACGCAACTATCTCTAGCACTCCTCTTTGCGGAATTCTATGAGCTACTTATGCATTAGAAACTCTGCAATAGGAAATCGAAAATGGACGTGATTTCCCAGTTACAAGAGCAAGTCAACACGATGCATCGATCACTTCAATACCTTCGGCACTCTTAAGAGAGATGCGCCTTCCGCATAGCTCTCCACGAGTTATCCTGAACCGCCCGCGGACGCCGCAGAGGACATTTCTTGTTTCGCCGAGCAACCCAAGCTGCCAAGCAGGTTCGTGTCTCTTAGGCTACTATAGCAAGTGTAGTTTCAAAAGACAATCAGATAGAAAACAAGAGGTCTCTATTACATTTTTTCCTCACAATATCCCATGCAGTACATGAGCTAAACATTTCATAGTTGAGTTTAGTACTAGTGTCTCTATCTTCCCAATGAAATATTAGGAAAAAATTGTGCCACAAAGAGCTGCTTGGATAGCTACTACAAGAAGTAATCAAAGAACAAGTATAATGTTCAGATACCATCCAGAACAAACATTCAAGTCAGATGCTTGTCAATATCCACTTTCTCTTCTGTTGAAATGCTTGGTCTTCCCTTCTCAAGTTTTGCCCATTGCTACATTATTGGATATATCCAACACAAGAAATAGTGACAAACAAAGAATAACACAAAAATAGACCGTCATTTTACTATTGAGACAAGGGAAACATCACAATGATGTAGAGTGGTAAATCAAGTTCGAATTAACAAGAACTACTTCAATCACAAAGCAGTAATCTATACTTCATGTCACATTAAAAACAACAGACAACTTCTAAGAAGATAGAAGTATTAAACATTCATTCTATGCCTACTATAGTCATCCCACATTGCACGTGCGATACCATCTCTTTTTGCTGCCCACTCTCTGTTTTCCTTCCTCTCCTCTCTTTGTGTTTGTTGATGTCTTCTTTCTTGACTTTGAGATTCGACCTCTATGTTTAGTTCTTGCATAAAAGGATCAAGGGGGTCAACTCCCATAATGAAGTTATGTAAAATACAACATGCTAAGACCACATCAACTTGAGTATCAAAAGATCAAAACGGTTCATTTCTTAATCTCAGAGCTAGTAAAGATAGAGGTTTTATCTCAAAGGTAAACCCAATAGCAAGCATTCAAATAAAATACAAAAAATATCATCAAAAAGTAAAGACAAGTGCAGCTTAACTAGACATTTTAACAAACATGTTTAAAGGCTCAGGAGGGCTAGACTTATCAGGATTCAAAACTTGATTCCGCTGAGTTTGTGGTCGTGAGCTATTTTAGCCTATTTGTTAGGCATTTTTATTATATAGATTTCTTCCTAGTATAGAATCCTTCCTATTGTATATCTCCTAATTAGGGTTGTCATATGTCCTATATATATAACAGGATTGAGCATTGTAAATGTACAGAAAAAATATTCATTGAATACAAAAAGGAGAGTCCTTTTCTACATGGTATCAGAGCCCTAGGGTTTGATCCTTGGGGTACTGTACGTCAATCATTGGCTACGGCGGTCCCGCTTGCCGGCGAGCGGGCTGAGAAATTTTTTTTTTGGGCTCGATTTCTTCTCTATTGCACCGTTCGACGTGCGTCTTACCCGATCTTCTTCATCGCAATTCAGTTTGCGAAGCTGATCTCATGGCCGACGAACATCCGATTGTTGCAACTGACCAAGCGGATGCTAGTGCCTCTGCTACTGCCATTCTGGCAGACCTGACCACTGCGATGAAGCAGCTCTTGACCCAGCAGGCCGCGCCGCTGTGCGTTGAACCTCCTGTTACACCGATTGCTATCAAGCTTGATGGCAAAAATTATGGCGTATGATCCCAGGTTGTTGAGATGTATGTCTCAGGCAAAGACAAACTGGGCTATTTGAATGGTGATTCTCCTGAGCCCCCTCCTACTGATCCGTTTTTTAGACAATGGAAGATCGATGATTCTACGGTGAAAGGTTGGCTTATCAATTCTATAGACCCAGCCTTGATACCAAACTTTATTGGGTTTCCTACTGCCAGAGCCGTATGGGATGCTGTGACAACGACCTTTTTTGATGGATCTGACACCTCCCAAATCTATGATGTTAAGAGGTAGGTTTCTCGATTGAAGCAAGGCGGTGGACCCATCGAGAAATATTACAATGATCTTCAAGGGCTCTGGCGTGAGATTGATTTCCGCCATCCTAATCCTATGCAATGTCCGGCCGATATTCTGAGGTACAATGCCATTGTCCATGAAGATCGAGTTTATACTTTTTTGGATGGTCTCGATGACCGCCTGGATAATGTTCGTGCTGATGTTATGAAGATGGATCCATTTCCAACTATTGAGCAAGCTTATGCTCGAGTTAGGCGAGAGGATATGCGCCAATCTGTCATGCTCTCCATTCCTGTCGAGGTCACCTTTGGTTCAGCCATGGTGTCACAGCGGGGCAAGGGTGATCAGTTAGTACTTTCTGCCCGGGGACCTCGCCCTAAACCTGGTATGCCAATTTAGTCCGAGGGATGCTCTCACTGTGGGAATCCTAAACATACAGCAGCATCTTGTTTTAAACTGCATGGTTATCCAGACTGGTGGGATGATTTTCAGACCAAGAAGAAGAAACTAGGCTCTCAAAAGGGGCGGAATGGAGGGCAAGCCACCTTAGTGACTAGCGGCTTGTCATTAATTCCCATGGAGCCTGAATCGGGGCGGAATGGAGGGCAAGCCTCCTTAGTGACTAGCGGCTTGTCATTAATTCCCATGGAGCCTAAATATGCTAATGCCGAATCTCTTGAAGGTAATTGTGGGTTTGTCTTTGCTAATGGACATGGTGATGGTCATCATGGGTGGATAATTAATTCTGGCGCTACAGATCATATGACTCCGGAATCTGGTGACCTTCTTACATCTACTACACCACGTCGAGATCATATTTACAATGCTAATGGACATAGCTTTCCTGTGATGGCTGCTGGGCGTGTGTCTGTCACGCCTTCTCTCTCTATCTCATACCTTGCTTGTTCCTTCATTGTCTAATCGTCTGTTATCAGTTGGACAGCTTACTAGTGAGTTGAACTGTGTTGTGCTTATGTACCCTGATTTTTGCCTGTTTCAGGACATTCTCACGAAGGAGATTATTGGGCGTGGTACTAAGAGGGAGGGGCTGTATTTCGTGGATGAAATTACTTCTGGATGGACCTATCATTCTCGTGGACAGTTAGCTCAAGAGAAGGAACTTTGGTTATGGCACTGTCGGTTAGGTCACCCATCCTTTGGGTATTTACGGTATTTGTTTCCCAAGTTATTTCATGGTCTATCGAACTCTAGTTTTCAGTGTGATACATGTATTTTGGCAAAGAGCCATCGCACTTGTTTTCCTCCTAGTTTGAATATAAGTTCTACTCATTTTTCCTTAATTCATTTTGATGTATGGGGTGCGTCTCCTATTACTACTGTATCTGGGTTTCGATGGTTTATCATCTTTGTTGATGATTGCATACGTATGACTTGGCTATATTTGATGAAACATAAGAATGAGGCTGAAGCTATCTTTCGTACTTTCCACCGTATGATTCAGACTCAGTTTGGGGCCAAACTTCAGGTTCTCAGGTCTGATAATGGTGGCGAATACTTAAGTAAACCTCTTGCAGCTTATTTTCAAGAACATGGTTTGATACATGAAACTTCTTGCCCTCAGACTCCTCAGCATAATGGTGTTGCTGAGCGCAAGAATCGCCATCTTCTTGAAACCACTCGAGCACTCTTGGAGGGTAGCCATGTTCCCCATCGTTTTTGGGATTCTGCCGTAGTCACAGCTGCTTATTTGTTGAATCGCATGCCTTCCCGCATTCTGAGCTATCGCACGCCAATGCAAGCACTTGCTGTCCATGTGTCTCTTCCTTCGGTTCTTACATTGCCTCCTAAGGTGTTTGGGTGTGTTGCTTATGTCCATCTTCACAAAAATCAGCGGACCAAACTTGACCCTTGTGCAGTCAAATGTGTGTTTCTTGGTTATGGCCCTTCTCAGAAAGGGTATCGGTGTTATGATCTTGCCGGGAAGCGCACGTATGTCACCATGGATGTAACATTTATTGAGACGGAGTCCTATTTTCCTTCCCCCCAGTGTCTTGTTCAGGGGGAGACTAGTTATAGAACCAGACATTGGTGGGAGGTAGGAATTGCAGGAGCGACGGATGGGTGCGCACGACCACATGATTCTGAGGCTGCTGAGGCTGAAGATTTTGAGCTACTGCCGCATGATTCTGAGGCTGCACGACCAGACAACACTGAATTACTGCATGGGTCCGAATAGGTGTCAACAGATGCACAGCTGCAACAGCTACAACAGCCTTCCTTGTCTTCATCTTCTTCGCCCTCTTCAGTACCACTCCAAGCTCCTGAGAATGTACCTGAGGTAAGTACTTCTACTGTACTTGATTCTTTTGAAGATACTGATGTGCTTATTGGTTATAAGCTACCCGATAGGCATAATAGGGGTAAACCACCAAATCGATATTCTCCAGATGTAGAGGACCGCTGGTCTCGATACCCAATTGCAGACTATGTGTCTGCCAAGAGGCTATCCACACCACTACAAGCCTTCGTGTTTACGATTTCCTCGGTTCAAGTTCCAAACAGGGTTGAAGAAGCCATGAAGGATCCGAAATGGCTTCAAGCGATGGAGGCAGAGATGGAGGCGTTGGAGAAAAATTGAACTTGGAAACTTGTGGAACTACCAAAGGGTAAAAAGCCGGTTGGATGTAGGTGGGTGTTCACAGTCAAACATAAGGCAGACGGCACTATTGAGAGGTATAAGGCGCGATTGGTAGCTAAAGGGTATACACAGACTTATGGGGTGGATTATCAGGAAACATTCTCTCCGGTTGCAAAGTTAGACACTATAAGAGTGTTGTTATCTCTGGCAGCAAACTTGGACTGGCCTTTGCATCAATTTGATGTGAAGAATGCATTTCTTCATGGAGATTTAGAGGAGGAGATCTATATGGAGCTTCCACCTGGATACAGATGCGCAGATAAGCCGAACATGGTTTGAAAGCTGGAAAGATCATTGTATGGGTTGAAGCAGTCATCTCGTGCATGGTTTAGTCGCTTTAGCTCAGCTATGAAAGGGTATGGATACTCCCAAAGTAACACAGATCATACTTTGTTCTTAAAAGGTGCTCAAGGAAGAATGACAGCTCTTATCATATATGTAGACGACATGATTATTACAGGCAATGATAGTGCGGAGATTATGAGACTGCAGGAATTATTATCTAGGGAGTTTGAGATGAAGAACTTGGGAGGTCTGAAATATTTCCTGGGAATCGAGGTTGCTAGGTCGAAGGAAGGGATTTACTTGTCTCAGCAGAGGTATGTTCTTGATCTTTTGACCGAAGTTGGCATGCTAGATTGCAAGCCTGCAGACACTCCTATGGTACAAAACTGTAAGCTTGGAGAGTACCCTGATCAGACGCCTACTAATAAAGAGAAATACCAAAGGTTAGTAGGTCGATTGATTTACTTATCACATACACGTCCTGATATTGCTCATGCAGTAAGTGTGGTGAGTCAGTTCATGCATGCACCTAGTGAGGATCATATGAGTGCTGTGTGGCGCATCATTCGATATTTGAAGTCAGCCCCAAGAAAGGGGTTGCTATTTGCAAAGAATGGCCACCTTGAAATAGAAGGTTACACAGATGCAGATTGGGCTAGAAGTGTAACAGACATGAGGTCTACATCAGGGTATCTTACATTTGTGGGAGGCAACCTTGTTACATGGAGAAGTAAGAAACAAAAGGGCAAAAGGACATTATTAGTGTCATAACTTGTGTACGGAGGTCACTTTGTGCCATAACTTTTTTTTGGATCACTTTGGTGCTAACTTTTTTGAAAAATGATCACTTTAGTGCCAATATTGACATGGCTTGCCGGAAATCCTACGTGGCACTGACATGGCTCGCCGGAGAGGTCCAGTCAGCATTAACAACCAAAAACGACGCCGTTTAGTTCCCTAACTTGTACTTTTTTAGAAAAGTAAAATTTAAATTATATTAAAATAATTAAAAAAACAAAAAAAAGGAAAATACCACCAAAAATCTCAAATTATGATACTTGTGATAATTTACCCTGAACTTTTTTTTGACACGAAAAACCCAAAACTATGCCATTTGTGACAAGTTTACTCTAAACTTTTTTTTGTGATACTAAAAACCCCAAATTATACTCATTGTGATACATTTACCTCACAACACTTTAACCCAAGGGCATTTTCGTCTTTTTCCTTTTTCTGTTTTTTTTTCTTTCTTCTCCGGCGAGGGCAACCCTCGCCTGAACCGGCGAGGGCGACCCTCGCCCGACTCAGGCGAGGGCGACCCTCGCCCGCCTAGGCGAGGGCTTCCCTCGCCCGACGCCGGCGAGGGTCGCCCTCGCCAGATCCGGCGAGGCGGCCTTCGCCCGGCCGGCGGTGGCGACCCTCTCGGTGCGAGGGCGACCCTCTCGGGCGAGGGCTTCCCTCGCCAAGCATCGGCGAGGAAGCCCTCGCACGGGCGGGCGAGGTCGCCCATGCCCGACTCGAAGCGAGGGCGACCGTCGCCGCCCGGCGAGGGCTTCCTCGCCCGACGCCGGCGAGGGTCGCCTCGCCCGATTTGGCGAGGGCAACCCTCGCTTGAGTCGAGCGACGGAAGCCCTCGCCCGGCTGGCGGCGGTGGGGCAGTGGCAAGCCCTCGCCTGCTGCTGCTTCCCTTTTTTTTTTCCTTATTTGAATATAATTTAAATTTAATTTTTTTTAAAAAGCCACCTAATTTCCATGTGTACAAGGCATATCATTTTTTTTAAAATATAAATGCCAGGTCACCATTTTTTTTAAATGTAAATGCCAGGTCAATTTTTGGCTGGACTCACTAAAGTGATCTATTTTTCTCCGACTTGGCACCAAAGTGATCCAAAAAAAAGTTATGGCACCAAAGTGACCTCCGTACACAAGTTATGGCACTTCTGGTGTCCTTTTGCCAAAACAAAAGGTTGTAGCTCGGTCTAGTGCAGAAGCTGAATTCAGAGGTGTAGCAAAGGGGTTATGCGAACTTCTATGGCTTCGGAAGCTGCTAACTGAGCTCGGGTATCCACCAGGTTTGGAAATCAAATTGTTTTGTGATAATAAAGCAGCCATAAACATTGCTCATAATCCAGTTCATCATGATAAAACCAAACATGTGGAGATTGACAGACATTTCATCAAAGAGAATTTGGAGGCAAAAGTGATCCAGTTACCATTTGTCAAGTCTGAAGACCAGTTAGCTGATATATTGACAAAGGCTCTGTCAAGTAGAGAATTTCATTGCTCACTTATCAAGTTGGGTATCAAAGATATCTTTGCACCTACTTGAGGGGGAGTGTGGTCGTGAGCTATTTTAGCCTATTCGTTAGGCATTTTTATTATATAGATTTCTTCCTAGTATAGAATCCTTCCTATTGTATATCTCCTAATTAGGGTTGTCATATGTCCTATATATATAACAGGATTAAGCATTGTAAATGTACAGAAAAAATATTCATTGAATACAAAAAGGAGAGTCTTTTTCTACAGAGTTTACTGCTCAAGAGAGCTAGACTCAATGCAACAGCAGTAGCACATGTGCACGATGATAGATTCTAAACAACAAGGCTTATGAATGATTTCAACGAGGTGTTGCAACAAAATTTATAATCAATGATTTTCTTTACCTTTGGACATTTTAACAAACAAAAGAAAAAAGAACAACCTCACAAAAGAGATCCAGCCCTAAGAAAGTTAAAAACTGGATTGCAATTTTAGCAAGAGCAGAACCAACTCCTGAAGGAACATGTAAACCCATCACTTTGCCTAACAGGGTATGATATGTTACACATAAAAGCACATATCTCAAGAACAGAACCCTAACCAATGATAAAAGTGGAATACTCATCAAACCAGGAAACAACAACCAACTCGACTCATCTTGATAGATTACCTTTGATATGTGTTTTCATAAAAGCATATATCGCCGAAAATTTCGAGCAAATCAACGACAAATCGAGCAAAAAGGTGAAGCGCTTAGATAAATGGAATCTCTAGGATCTGATTTCTAAAATTTTGCTTGCAGAAGATGAACTAAAACGAGAATCAAACGACCGTAGCACAGAGAATCAACATCAAGTCCATGATGTAAAGCATTGATCAAATTTTCCGAGATTATTTTCAAATTAGAGAGGGGAGAGAGAACCTGGAGCTGTGTTGAGTGTCGTTGAAGACGAGTTGGACCTTCAATGGCGAAGAAGACGAACTGGACCTTCAACGGCGAAGAAGAAGAGCATCGGTGAAGAAGATCTGAAGAAGAGCGAGCGAAAGAGCTAAGGAAGAGCAAGCGTACCTCAGAAAGGTGGGAGAGACTCGAGAAGACCAAAGGTGAGAGAGAACCCGATAAAGAGGGGACAATGTTTTCATCTTCTCATGTCAAGGAATTCACTTTCCGAAAATTAAACATGATATTTGTGTTGACCGAAAATTATTTTCCATTGACCAAATCATTTTCAGAGAACCAAACAACTAAAAGTCCGGAAAACACTTTTCCGGAAAACACTTTCACCGAAACAAACACACCCTTAATCCTTTGTTCTTGTTAGTGTCCTAAATATTTTCGTTGCGCAAACGTACTTCCATATGAAATCTTACCAAAGATAATAAGTAGATTGTTTCCAACAGATCCGCCTATGAAATATCTGTGTCCAAGGATTTGGTAGTTTTTCTCTTGTGCTTTCATATCTGTAATTCTATTACAAATGTTTAGAGGAAAAATTGAGAAAATGCTCGCTCTCGTGCTCGGCATGTGTCACTTCACTTGGCTTTTGTGATTGCCATGCCCGACCCACGTTCGACCAAATAATCATTAGCTTATTGATTTGCCTTTCTCTGAGTTTTGCTTTCTTATCAAAATTAAATTTTAAAATATAGATAAAGATAATGTATCTTCTTGATATATTCTCATATATTATTTAATTTCCAATTTATTCGGATTATGATATAAAAGAAAAAAATTCATAGACTTGTATGTGCCGGAAATTTATTTTCAAAGTATACGGATTTGCTTGAATGGTATATGCTATAGTTAACATATCAATATTTTCAGACCAAAAACATAGATTAACTGAAACTATTGCGAACCCAAGTTTATTCCCATCATCAGACCTAGACATGTTATTATTTTGTTCAATTGAGGTTTTTCAAAAAAAATTTGCTGAATTTTTAAAAATGTATTACCTTTTTTTTTGTGTACTTGCGAAGGTGAACATGTAGCCAATTAAATCATAGTGAAATAGGCCCAATCAATTTTCTTTTTTGTTAGAAAATAAGATAAAATGGACACTGAGGCTCGCAACAACAAACCACACGATTTCAAACTTCGTAGTTCATGATCTTGCTTATCCATTGCAGCATCTTTTCCTAAAACTGTAATTACAGATAAAGAATTTAAATAGCTGTCAACAAGAAATTAAAAAGAAGACAATGCATATACTCCAATTAATCAGAGGAAACATCACCTCCCACATCACGTCTTCCACCTATAAAGGAAAAAGCTCTCGTGTTAGAAATTAAGACATGACAAAAAAACTTAAGAGACCACCTTTTAGAATTTAGATAATGAAAAACACATAAATAGAAAAAAAATCAAATTTTATCGCGTCTCGAGGATGACCTTGTTCTAGTTAAGCCAGAATATCTTGTTTTTCTCGAACTCTATCTTTCGAATTGAGGATGCAATTTCGTTTACTAAGATAAAGTCTCGACATTCGTCCATAATGGTTTGGTAACCAAATTAAAAAAACGACAGAACATCGTCCGATTAAGATACTAACTAATCATTAATTTCGTACATGGATAATACTTCGTAACAAGAAACAGCATGCATCGAGAGACCCTATCCAATCAGATAAGAAAGATTTTAATTCGTCTTAATCCCGAAACACTCGATAAGTCACACCCTTTTCCTCCTTCTCCGAGTGCTCTTACGAGCTCTCGTTATATATATAGTGCTGCGTTGCGAGTTTCGCAGTCTGCAATTGCAGTTCTGCGAGCAGAGTTTAGAGCAGAAGTAGTGCTGGTCGGACGGACATGGCGACCCTCGGTTTGCGGTTTGCTGCTGTTCTAAGCGTTCTGAGCTTCCTTCTCGTCGCCTCTGCAATCCCTCTTGACGTCTCGTACGACGAGAGGGGGATCAAGATCAATGGTCGGAGCAAGATCATCATCTCCGGTTCGATACATTACCCTCGTAGCACTCCTGAGGTAAAAGCTTTTGGTCTTTTTCAAGTGAATTTGCCGAATTTTTGACGTGTTTATATGCTAATTTATCGTGTATTAGTTCGCGAATTTGGATCCTAATTGAATCTTTAATTTTTGCAAATTTTTTGTTAGATGTGGGGTGATCTCATTAGAAAAGCAAAAGAAGGCGGCCTCAATGCCATTGAGACTTACGTTTTCTGGAATGCCCACGAGCCCCTGTACCGTCAGGTATTTCAACAATTTTTGAAGAACTTATTGTGTTTTACTAATTTACTCTTTATTTCGTTGTGAATTTTACTCTCTTTTTTTTTTATCTCGTAAATTTTTACTCTAAATTGTGAATTTAATTCTCGTTTATGTGGTGGGGTGTTTTCTTTGTTTTTAGTACGACTTCGAGGGAAATAAGGATCTAGTCCGGTTTATCAAAACCATTCAAGACGCCGGGCTCTACGCCATTCTTCGCATCGGCCCGTATGTATGTGCGGAGTGGAATTATGGGTAATTATTGTTAAAATTTTTGGAATTGCATTAGTATTTATGAACGTGCATTGCCTTATTTTTCCTTTTATGAGTCATATAATAATAATTATTTTTTACTTCCAATTTTTATATTCAGAGGATTTCCCGTCTGGTTGCATAATTTGCCTGGTATAGAGATGCGAACAAACAACACCGTTTATCAGGTAATATAATTTTTATGCCATTTTTAGCTTCAATTTTTTTTAACTTAAAGATCTCTAATTTGAATTTCTGATGGATTTTTTTATTATTTTGTATTGTAATTTAGAATGAGATGAAAACGTTTGTCACGGTGATAGTAGACATGATGAAAAGGCATAATCTTTTTGCTATCCAAGGTGGCCCTATCATCGTTGCTCAGGTATGTAAATCGACTTTCATACTTGGTTAATTTTTGTTTTTTGGGTTTTATTTAAGTGGTTCTTCTAACCTTTTTCACTACTAATTAAATCGATTGCGTGCTAATTAAGTGGTTTAATTTGATTTATTGATTTGAGATTTACTTTGTGATTTGGTCAAGATTGAGAATGAGTACGGAAACGTGGAATGGGCTTATGGCAACAACGGGAAGTCATACATGAATTGGTGCGCGCAATTGGCCCTAAGTTATGGTGTCGATGTTCCATGGATCATGTGTCAACAGAACGACGCCCCATCGCCTTTGGTATGATTAATTGTAATCACTCATCAATATAATGTGAAATTCCCAAAGAAAAGAATTATTTTTGAGTGAATTAACATGTTTTCGTTTACTTGCGCAGATCAATACATGTAATGGATGGTATTGCGACCAATTTTCTCCTAATAATCCTAAGAGTCCTAAATGGTGGACTGAGAACTGGTCTGGATGGTAAGGGAAAAATTATTTTCTTCCAAATTTTTTTGTAATGTCCAAAATATAGTTTTCTAATTCGGGTTTAATTTGAAAAATTAACTAGGTTCAAGGATTGGGGTATGAAGGATCCACATAGGACTGCCGAGGATCTTGCTTTTGCTGTAGCCAGATTTTTCCAATATGGTGGATCGCTTCAGAACTATTATATGGTAAGTATATATATTAATCTATTAATATACTTATTACAACTATATTATTTTAATGTACTTATGACAATTATTTTTTTTCCCTTCGTAGTACCATGGCGGAACGAACTTTGGTAGAACAGCCGGCGGTCCCTATATCGCCACATCATATGACTATGATGCACCACTTGATGAATATGGTTTTTATTTACCTGTTTTTTTAGTTTCAATTTCCATTACTATAAACAAAAAAAAAGCAATTTTTGTTTTATTTTTTTGCTAATACTCATCGCGTTCGATAGGTAACTTGAATCAACCAAAATGGGGACATCTGAAACGGCTCCACGAATTGATCATGTCCATGGAGGAGATCCTTACGCACGGAGTGAAGAGGGATGTGGATTACGGAAACATGATGTCGGTGAGTAATTTAGCTAATTAATTGAGATTTGAAATTAATCGAACATAGTCTCCTCGATGTCCCCGATAATAATTATATATATTTACGTTGGTCGATTAGGGCACCGTGTACATGTACGACGGGAAGCAAATTTGCTTCCTGGGCAATGCCAACTCAAACCAAGACTTCACCGTCAATCTCATGGGGAACAATTACACAGTCCCGGCTTGGTCCGTCAGCATCCTCCCTGACTGCTACACCGAGGTCTACAACACGGCGAAGGTGAAAATCGGACTCTTACATTTTGAATTCGGTACATTGCTAAAGCTCTTCAAGTGTACTTTAGTGCTGATGAAACCCTAAATGTTGTGTAGGTTAATACCCAACAGTCGCTAATGGTGAAACTGCCCAATGAAGCTGACGATCAAACGGAGCCCTACGAATTGACATGGGATTGGAGGCCCGAGCATCCCGAGCACTTGCATGATGGCTTAGCTAAAGGAAGTGTGATGACCGTGAACAAACTTTTGGATCAAAAGACCGTCACTAATGACACTAGCGACTACTTGTGGTATCTAACTAGGTAAATACAATGAATGTTCTGATGTATTATATGGTGTTTTTGATTGTTTTGGTTATGGAATTACCACAGTTTTTAATGGCCTCTTCATGAATGTTATACAGTCTTGATTTGAGCAAGAACGATAGTCTCGTGGGCAAGAAGATAACCTTGCATGTCCACACCAACGGACACATCGTTCATGCTTTTGTTAACGGGAAGCACGTCGGTGAGTCGAGCTCTTATCTATATAATCTCCATTTAATTATGTCAATTACTATAAAATACAGTGATTAGTATCAAGGGTTGCTTCTTATTACTTACGTTGAGGTTAAATTTTATCCGAGTCTAGGGTCTCAATGGGGTTCAAGTGATCACTTGGAATTCATCATGGAGAAAGACATCAAACTGAAGCTTGGCAAAACCAACACAATCTCGCTCCTCAGTGTCACCGTTGGTTTGCAAGTATAAAAATTTATATTACAGAACTTTCTTTAAAAAAAAATTGAAGTTTGCTTTTTAGTTTTTCATTAATTTAGTTGCTTGATAATATTTCGAGCAGAATTATGGGGCCAACTTTGACACGACCAAGGTCGGGATTCACGGCCCGGTGAAGCTGATCGGCAACAAAGGCCAAAGCGACGAGGTGACCAAGGACTTGTCGACCAACCCGTGGACGTACAAGGTGGGCTTGAACGGCATGGAAGTAAAGGGACTCCAATTGGACAACGCACGTCACCAACATGGATGGAAATCTTACAATCTCCCTTCCAACAGATTGTTCATATGGTACAAGGTAAAAAGAGAGGAATGGTTTTTACCCAGACCCTTTGATTTATTTGCTTAAATTTGCTGATTTACTGTATTTTTTTTTGGAATTTCGTCAGACAACCTTCAAGGCTCCTTTGGGCAGTGACCCTGTGGTCGTGGACTTGCAAGGGCTTGGCAAAGGCGTTGCTTGGGTCAATGGCCACAACATTGGCAGGTTCTGGCCGAGCTACGTTGCTGGTGAGGATGGTTGCACTACAACCTGCGATTACCGTGGAGCCTACAATTCCAACAAGTGCTTGACCAATTGCGGGCAACCTAGTCAAAGATGGTAATAAACAGTAGACATCCACTTGTTATTGTGAATTTCTTTCGTCATAAGACATGTTGTTTTTAGGGTTTTGTTGAGACTATGGATGATGATTTTTGCTCTTGTGTAGGTATCACATCCCACGGTCCTTCCTTGAAGACGATGGCAACAAGCTGGTACTTTTCGAGGAGTTCGGCGGCACGCCGCTCCACGTGAGGTTCCAGACTGTCACGGCCGGGACGATCTGTGCCACTACCGACGAGGGGAAGAAGCTGGAGCTGTCGTGTCAAGGTAGGCGCGTGATGTCAGAAATCCGGTTCGCCAGCTTCGGCGAGCCGACGGGTGCTTGTGGGTCTTACGCGAGGGGTAGCTGCGAAGCTCCCAACACGCTCTCCGTCATTCAGAAGGTAATGAACAAATAAAAATACCCTTTTCCTAATTACTATTATTGAATGCTTAGGTTATTTTTGGGATTATTTTTTCCAAGACACAAACTAAGATATAAATCGGTTTTTTGCAGCAATGTCTTGGACAAGAGAGCTGTACGCTTGATGTTTCGGAGAACACTTTCGGACCCACGGGATGCCATCAGAATGTTTATAGACTTGCTATTGAAGCTACTTGCGATTCTCCATAGTGTATTTTGGTTTATTTTTGTAGGATACTCTTTAGTTTATTTAGGTTTTCTTTTAATTGGGTACAAGGGTTTTACATATTTCATGTTTCTTAAACTTTGGTTAGGATCTTTTGGTTTATTTTTGTCGGATACTCTTTAGTTTATTTAGGTTTTCTTTTAATTGGGTACGAGGATATTACATGTTTCATGTTTCTTAACCCTTGGTTTAGGTTGATTTACTTATTTCATACTCTTGAAATCATATTGGTTTGAGTACTACTTATCTTTCTTTACGAACATCTTTCAATTTTTCAGCACCGCTTCTCAAAGTAAGGCTAGATGTACCAAAAGTTTATCGAGCACTCTTACTAAATGATGTGACGATTTATGGGGCATCTACCATGTCATTATTTATGTATACAAAAAGTTGGAACGATTCATGGAGTAAAAAGAAAAGAAATACATTGTTGTGAATGTATTTTCGAGCTTCACTCTGCTAAATTTAGAAGTAGAATTAAGGCGGACTAAGTATGAATAATTTGAATTGTTGTGAATGTATTTTCTATACAGATCTGGTGTAATTGGGAAATTTGTCGACAATTTGAGATTGAGTGCTTCCATAGCATGGGGATCACGTTTGAATTTCTTCCACGTTCTTGATGATCGATTGCGGGAAGAGGTGCTTCAATTGTCTGCGCTTGATTCTGAAAGAGATGCTTGCAAGACTGTGATGGAGGAATACTGGACTTCAATTGAAGTAGAAGTGATTACTTTTGAATACACAAGCTTAGCTTTGTGTAATTTAAGCTTGTGTGATTTTATTTTTATACGACCCACGTACATTACCCTTAATTCGAAATATTTATTCATTTTCAAACTATAATTATGCTGTTAATATTGTTGGAAGTGGGTTGTGTAACAACTGTATTGCACGGATTATGTACTATCTAAAAACTCATGAAGTGGGGGTGACTTTGTTGTAAAAGTTAGTCTCAAATCCATCCAATTATTGATCTCCACAATTTAAAACTATTTTGCATATCACAAAACAAATAAAACTAAAAGACATGTTTGAGTGTAATTTTGGCTAATATACTAATGACCAAATTAAAAATCTCCACATGAAAAAAAATACAAGATAAATAAATGATACCTGCTAATTTAAGATCTCTTCTTTCCAAAGTTACTTAAAAAAAAATGAAATAGAACTTTTCAGTACTATAGAGGCTAACAAATTTATATCTTAAAAAGCATAAGTATTGATGGTGGCGGTCATAAGTTTATTTTTCCCCGTGTTTAGGACAACTTTTGACTTGCGAATGTTTTCTTTGCTTTGTTATAAGGTGTTAAAAATAAATGAAAAGATGAAAACCGGAATCAGAAAACTATAGATGCTATGGTTGCAAATAAAGATAGCCATCTGTGAGGCATGAACACATAATTTGGTAATTCGAAATTACATTGTCTACGTAATTAAAAAAGCCACGAAAAAATAGTTAATTAGTGTGATTATAGACTCTTTAAAAGTAGGATAAATAAAAACTTATGCAATTCAAAGAAATTAATCTTAATACCTCTTTCTTGAGCTCTTTTACTTCTTTTTTGACCAACCGATTCCTTGTTACGAGGAGGGTTAGGCTTATGCCTCCAGATGCTCTTGCTTTGTTTGGGATACTATCCCTTGTTCAACGTGAAGCTGCTCGTTCTTAGCGGATGAAGGCAGCTTAGATCACGACCGGAGAGAAGGGCGAGAGTAGAAGTATGCCCTGAAAAGAGAAAATCTCTTTTTATTTTGTATCTTGATCTGCTACTATCCAGGTAATAGGTGTGTGCAAAAGAACCGGGAACCACCTGGACCGCCTGGGATCGCTCGGAGTTGGACCGGAACCGGTGGTTCCTAAGGGAACTAGTTCCCAGTTCCAGTTTTTGGGAACCAGTGGGTACCGGTCTGGTTCTTGGTTCCAGGTGTGGAATCGTCCATCCATCCACCTGGACTGGATCGGTAATATAATAATAATATAATATAATATATTTTATTTTATTTTTAATTTTTTTAAAAAGAAAAATCCTAAATCCCTAAACTAAACCTAACTCGCTTGACGCTCACAGCCTCATGCTGAGCAGAGAAACACATTCTTTCGCTTTTGCCTCACACTCACTCTCTCACTCTTCTTGGTCGACACTCAACTCACCGTCTCCGACTCTCCATCTCTCCGGCCTCGACTCATGGCCTTGAGTCCTTGACTGTCAACTCCCACATGGCCGCGCCTCTAGCCCTTGCTCTTGGTTGCCTCCAAGTAAGTTCGAATACTTAATCTCTAATCTACTCGCTAAATCCCTAAATCTATAAGTTGTTTGTTTGTTTGGTCAATCTAACTTAAAAACCCTAGAAAAAATAAAACCCTAAATCCCTAATCTGCAATGTGAACTGTCAATGTTGGGGATTTCGATACCGACCGAGAGAATGTCACGACCAAATGAAAATTGGAATGAGGGGAGCGAAAAGAGAGGACGAGCCAGAATTTGAACTATTTATGTGTCACCACACATTTATTGATGAAAACTGGAAATTGCATAAAAGAATTATTTATTTTTGTGGTGATGCCTAGTCACAAGGGCAGGGATATTGGGAAAATGGTTGAGAAATGCATCTACTAGTGGGGTATAGAGAAAAAAGTGTCTACAATCACTGTGGATAATGCTAGTTCGAATGATGTTGCCATTGGTTATTTGAAAGAAAAATTTTCAAGAGATAAGCTATTGATCTTAGATCGTGAAATTTTACACATGAGGTGCACGGCTCATGTATTAAACTTGATTGTGAGGGACGGCTCGGCCAAGGTACATGATTCTATTACACGTATTCATAAAGTGGTTAGATATGTGAGAAATTCTCCTATAAGAGCTAAAACATTTAAAGATTGCATTAAGAGTGCAAGGATCACTTATAAGGGTTTGGTTTGTCTTGATGTCTCTACTAGGTGGAACTCCACTTACCTAATGTTAGACACCGCCATAAAGCTAAGAAAAGCTTTTGAAAGGATGGATGAAGATGATATTTCTTTCTCAACTAAGCTTAACTCTGATACTCCAAATAGTGTTGATTGGGAAAATGCCATTATTCTTTGCAAGTTTTGAAGAAGTTTATGATGCCACCAACAAGATGTATGTGACTTTGTATATCACTTCAAATTATTATTTTGAGGGGATAGCTTCTTTGTATAATTATCTAAAAGAAGCGGCAAAGGCTTCGGATCTTAGGGTGAGAGTTATGGGTGCGAAAATGAAAAATAAGTTTGACAAATATTATGAGAGTTTGAGAAAATAAATAAGATGCTGCTGATTGCGGCAACGTTGGACCGTAGAAAAAAAGATGAATTATGTGAGGTATTGTTGTAGATTCATTTATAATGATAGTGCGATAGCTAATGAGATGTTTAATAAGGTGAAGTTCGCCCTGGAACATTTGTTTAAATTTTATGAGAAATCTTCTCTTGATCTTGTAACAAAAGTTTGGGTGGTAAAACTTGTGAGTTCTACTAATACCGGTAGTAGTTGCGATCCTCATTGCGACGAGGGAAATGAAGGGGAAGATTGCGGTTTAGATTTCTATGTGCAAGAGCCTTCGTATGAAGCCTTTCTTAACGAGGAGAAAAAGGAGTCTGAGGGTAACTTATTTGAGCTGGATTGATATCTTAAAGCTGAACTTGAAAAAGGCTCATGATCTTGACATTTTGGTGTGGTGGAGAACGGCCGGCCAAAAGTTTAAAATCCTATCTTTGATGGCTCGGGATATTTTGTTTATTCCTGTAACTACCGTTGCTTCAGAATCGACCTTCAGTACATCTAGTCATGTGCTTGATGGCTTTCGAAGTTCTTTGACTCTTAGAGTCGTGGAAGCTTTGATTTGCACTCAAGATTGGTTGAGAGCGGTTCTCGAGCCGATTAATGTTGAAGAGTGCATTGAGAATGCGGAAAAGTTTGAGTTGGGTAAGTCCATATTTTTTCATCTTAGAATTACATCTAATGAGCGAATGCTTTATTTATTTATTTTTTGTTAGATATGGATCATGTTAACGTGGAGATTGACGGTACATAGATTTTACAAGTTGAAGTGATAGGAATATATATGTGGTGAGATTTTCCAATAATTGTTTGATTTCAATTTCTAGTGATTCTAATTTAAAACTAATGTCGTGTAATCATCTATATTTATTGTTGTTTTGTTTTCAGGAGGTTGGAACTTGGAGTTTAAGAGCTCTCGAAGCTTGAGAAGATGTTTGCTGCTGTTATTCCTGAGAATAGGAGATTTGCGTTCATTTATTATCGGTTGAGAAGTTGATTTACTTTATTTGCTTGTTTACTCTTGCGAACTTGTGACAAACTCCCACGTGTGATATATAATTTTGTGCAACCTTTTTCATGGGACACTTCCATGGGTCCTGTCAGACATTTGGTTTAAATTGTTTGCAACCCAGCATCCATATAGCAACCGATTTGTGATCCCTACCAATAGGGCGTTTGAAGGACTCAAAGTCCCTCTCTTTACTTGCTCTTTGACTCGTGAACATGTGGCTCGTTCTTTCATTTAGGATTAAGTTGAACTAGTAGATAGTTTACTATAACTTTCACACGTAGAAATATGTAAGAAATTTCATTTTTATTAAGACAAAATATTATATATATATATATATATATATATATATATATATGTGTGTGTGTGTGTGTATTACTAGTTTATCTATTTAACTCGATATTCTAGTTATATAATAATCTTGCGATACATAAAATAAAGAAAAACTAGAAACCATGCATGCAAAAAGTGAAATATATTATTGTTACATTCGATCAAACACATAAGCTATTAGGGATTTGATCAATCATAAACTACGTATGTTAAAGTTGTAATACTATTATCAATAATTATAGACATTGAAAGTTATTTGCTTTATATATGAAAAGGATGTTAATTCTAAGAAAATTAAACTATATAAGCATATAACCAGAATGTTACACATGTA